CATATCTTAATTATCTAAATTATATTAGATAAATGTATACAGTATATTTTTCTCCAGTTCATCTGTTTCATTCCAATCTGTTAGACCAGGCCGGAGCCCCTTAGAAAGTAGAGGTAAATCCTTGCCTCCCCTATAGAACTCACAAGGACAGGTACACATTGCTCAAAGCACAAAACTCTATCCTCTAAAGCACAACTAAAGGCTTAGGAATGTAGGAGAATTTCAGTGAGACAAGAAGAACCTCAATTTGGATATCAGCTCTCATTCCATAGGTAAATACCCTGTTGTTAGAGTAGGAGGAGTCTTCTGTACAGATCTGCTCCAGTCCCCACCCACCTGCTATGTTGCTGGAACCAATGAGAATCTGGCTCTTACCCAACCTCTTTGCCTGTATCTAGAGCCCAAACATTACTTTTCCCTAAGCATCAACCAGTAGAGGCTAAACCACATAGCCCTATAATCTGTGGAAGTTGCCAACCTACATAGAATGACAATAGCTGTTTATGCTAGTAGTGGGAGGAGTTTCATTCCTCTTTGTTTCAGTTGTTCCCTTCCAGACTAATCTCTGGGATTTACTTAACTTTGCAAACCAAAGCCTCCTCCCACCCAATTATTTTTTTCAAAACAAAAAGTAATCTTCCTTTGAAAAACAATTCTATTAACTCCCTCTAGAACACAGATATGGGAGACGTTTTTTGAAATAACATTTTTTATTTACCCTGTAGATATACAAATATATTTGGTGGAAGAAAAGTTACCCATATACCCACAGAGTATTTCTTAAAATTTTCATCCTAATTACTTATAACAAATAAGAATTCCAGGAGGAACTAAGCTGGTTATCTGAAAGCGGCCCAGAGTACAATATTTCTTTAGTTTTGTATTTTATCTTCTAAAATTCATGTACATTTTTGCATTTAAATGCATAATATAACCATTTATTTTAATATGTAACAAGGACTGAAATACATTTAAGACTTGCAATAATGATATAGGAGATTAGGGCATGATGAAGCTGGCTGAGAAAGTAGGTGTGACCTGTTAATTACAAGATCCTGGACACATGCACAGAATAGTTTCTGCCCTGCACTTGGACTTCTTGGAAGAACTTGAGCAGGTTTTCAATAGAATGACCTAGATCTGACATCAGCCTGAGGCCTGGGATCCCAGCACAGCTTCTCAGGACCTGTATGTAGAAGTTCTCATAGGTTTCCTCAAGATTTGGGCAGTATAAAAGGACACAGGTGCCAAGAAGAGCTTGCTATCATGGCTTTCTTCATGAAAGCCTGCCCTGCTTCCTCCAGGGTGTACTTTTATCTTTTTTCTCTTTTGCTCAATCAAAACTCAGTCTGCAGAGCCAGTTTCTTCCTCACTCTTCACTTTTACTTTTCCAAATAAACTTTGCCACTGCTTTTTGTTTGTTTTGTTTAATTCTTTGTTTGAGATGAGAAGAACCTGGAATCCCAACTCCAGGAGGAGAAGCAGCAACCTAAAACCCTGTAACATTTACTTGGTGAGCCACTTTTAGAAGGAGCTACTAGATTACAATGATTTGCAGTAAGTTAGATCCACAAAATTCTATCTTGTGAAATTTCATTGTTCAAAGTTTATTGAAATGCAAGCCTGTACAACTAGGAGTCCACACCCAATCACCAATCAAGCTATGTTCTCATTTGCATTATTGTGGGCATAACTGATATCCTAATGCTTTTAGAGAACACTACAGTATGCAATTTATGTGAAAAAAAAATGTGAGGCACTAATCAAGCTCCATGTGATGTGGAATTTTGGCACTTTCCAAAGTTCAATACCTTCCCTCCTGTACACACACACACACACACACACACACACTTTTTTGGTTTTCAAATTTAGAGACTATTTGAAAAAGGGGCCAAAAACATGCTGGAGAAAAGATAGCCTCTTTTAAAAATAGTGCCGGGCAAACTGATTATCCACACACAGAAGATTAAATCTAGATTCATTTCTCACCATGCACTAAAACAAAATCAAAATGGATCAAAGACCTAAATATTAAAACAGAAACTGGAAAATAAAACTCAGGAAGACACAGGCATAGATAAAGACTTTGTGAGCAGAACCCCAATTGCACAAGAAATAATAACAAATACTATAAGGATCATATCAAATTAAAAAGCTTCTGCTAGCAAAGGACACAACCAACAGACTGAAGAGAGAACCTATGAAGGGGAGCAAAATTTTGCCAGCTATTTTTCAAAGGGAGGACTAATATTTAGAATATATAAAGAACTCAAAAAATTAGAGTCCCAAAAATTAAAGACCCAATCAAAAAATGGGCAAGTGAAATGAATAGACACTAGACACTTTTCAGAAGAAAAAGTACAAATAGCCAATAAGTACATGAAAAAAATGTTCAGCATCTTTGGCCATTAGAGAAATGCACATTAAAACAACACCAAGACTCTATCTTACTCCATAAGAATGGCTTCTATCAAGAACTCGAAAAACAGCAAATGCTGGTGAAGCTATAGAGCAAAAGGAACCCTTCTGCACTGTTGTTGAGAATGTAAACTAATGCAACCACTATGGAAATCAGTGTGGGTTCCCCCAAAATCTAAAAATAACAATTCCATTCAAGCATTTTTATTATGGTCATCTTATCAAAATAGTTGAACCTTGAAACTATAATGCTAAGTGAAATAAATTAGTGAATTTAAATTAGTGAATGCTAAATGAAATAAATATCACATGGTTTCTCTTATAATGAAAAGCCCAAAGTGTAAATGTAAAGAGCAAAATAAAAGTTAGATAATAGGAAACAGGGAGGTAGTCCTTTTTCAGGTGGGAAGGGAATCTAAAAATGGAAGAGGGAGGAGAGGGAAAGTAAAAAAGATTAAGATACAATATGTACACGTACCAACTCTTCACATGAATGTATTCATTATGTATCACATACATGTACTAATTTTAAAAATGTTTTTAAAGATTAGGAGACCAAAGTAATACAGGATAATGGCTAATAACATGTACCCTGAGAGAATTTATAAATCTCAGTTTCTTTATAACTTCATTATTTTATAAAGATACATGAAATGGTATATTAAAAATACTTTATGTTCCTGGCACATAACATTTAAAGAATGTTTACTATTGGTATGGTCATAATTACTATTTTTTTAAGTTAGTACATGTTTGCAGTACCTGATGATTACATTCATGAAGGGAAGTTGGCATATGTACACAACACGTCTTGATTCTTTTTACATCCCCCTTTCCCCCTTCCCTCCCAGCTGCATCTTTCCTTCCCCTCACCTCTCCCCTCCATCTCTTGACTTCTTCCCATTTGAGAAAGATCTATTTCTGTTCACTCTGTTGATTGTTTCTTTTGCTCTGCAGCTTTTTAATTTGATATGTTCCTATTTCTTGATTCTTGAACCTATTTAATCTTCCAACAGATTGTTTCTGTTTTAATATTTAAACCTATGATCCATTTTTATTTTGGTTTATTACATGGTGAGAGATATGGGTCTAGATTCAATCTTCTTTGATCCTTTTTGTCATAATTACTATTAATAGTCATTTAGTATACCTTATAATTAACAAAATATGAAACACACCATGGTCAGTAAAAATGTGTTTATTAATTGATCCATGCAGGCTTGGATCCCTACCCATTCATCTTACTCTGTACATATCTTTCGTAGTACCCGTAAGAATTGTAATTTGTTAACTTGGGAGAAATATTTATTTAATGTCTCTTACACTAAATAGCAAGCTCCATCATATCAAGGACAATGTCAGTCTTCTTTATTTCTCTACCTTCAGGACTACTACATGCCTGACATGATAAATATTTGAATAAACAGTGTGAGTCATTCATATTTCCTTGATTGGAGCAGACTAAAATAGTGTTCACACACTCTTTATCTTGTATCAAATTATGTCAGTAAAACTATCATATTTAAGTGCTCTTCAGTTGTGGATTATTTTTCAGATAATTTTCTTGTCTTGGAGAATCCAGTCTACTCTTCGCATCTTGTCATTGTAATATATCTAAGTATGTTACCAGTCTGAAATGACAGCTAACAATCCATATTTTCCTTGTTACATCTCTAGCTGCAATATTTGACAAATTAAATTGTGAATATGTAAACATAATGCACTGTAGATCACTATGGCCAAGCCTAATTCACTTCCTCCCGTGGAGGACTCCAGGGGAGAACAGGTGACAAGAGGGCATGGTGGAGCAAGGCCTGGCCAAGAAGAGGATTATTTTCCTCCCCAACCATTCAACAGAAAACCATCAAGCATGATGTCCTGCAGATCTTAGCTACTCTCCTGGCTCTGGTTACAGTCCAGTCCCTTTGATCTCCCCCTGCACTTCCCTTAACTCTATCAATAAAGGTGCTTCAGATGCCAGCCAGCCCCTTTTATCCCATCAGGAGAAGGGGTTTCCACCTGGCCCCAGCTTTATCAGCTTTATCATTGTCTTTGTCTGTCTTTCTTAATCTCCCATGGTCATTTCTCACTCCATGGACCCTAAAGCCATGCAGGCTGTGGCAGTCCAGAGTTGTGACAGAAGAAAGGGAGATCACAGCTAACATTTTTAAAAAATTAAATCAATTTATTATCCCACCTGTGCAAGGAAGTGTAATTGAAAGGAATTGAATCAACTTACTATCTGACATGTGCAAGGATTTGGAATTGCAAGGAAAGAAGGAAAAGGGTTTCCAGTATGTCAGCCCCACTGGTTGAAGGAGAATCAGAAGAAAAGCTTCTCTATATAAAATGTGCTTCTCTCCGCAGACCTCTAAGATAGCAGTCAAGGGTTAACAAACAGCCTGAAGGCTGGCACTGTGCCCAGGCCACTGTCAGCTAAAGCAGCTGTGTAAGCAGCAGACTCTGTAACCTTCAGAGCAACTGTTGGGTGCAGCAGTGAATGAGGGTCAGCCCAGATGGGACTAAGTCAAGTCAGCATTTTTACAGAGAAAAATTCAAGGTAAACCATCTCGTGGTATGTTCTATAGTCTCTAAACCTCTTTTTCCATCAGTAGCAACATGACCAGAAAAGCCTGCTGGTCTCAGGATTCTCTTCAAGAATAGCCCACATTAATGGATCCAAAATCACTGTTTCTATACCTGGGAAGAAAAAAACAATTTGACGGTAATCAGAGCTGAGTCTTAAGTATCCATTTTATTCCATTGCTGGATTCTCTTAAGTAATATAAGTAAGATCCTTAACATTATGTCCATGAAATTAATAGTTATGGTCTGATCCATCCAAAATATTACCTGTTCCTGAGATGTGTCACTTCTTCTATTTAGCCACATGCTGCTAAAAGAAATTGCCACTTGCTTAAGAATTCCAGCTAGTCACCAGCATGGACCACCCTAGGGATGCTTCCCAGGCAGAAGCAGGAGTTCTGAGAATAGCTCTGGTCTGGACACAATTTATGTGTCTGGGACAGAGTATCTGACTTCCATTGAGGTAATCCCAACTTTTACTTAGGCTATCGTGTTTGCTAGCTCAGGACTAGAGAGAGGTTTTGGTGCCTCCTCCAGGTGCTGGGAGAGGAATGAGAAGAAAACCTGCTGGGTCTGTTTCCTGTGTTGTAGTGGAAGTGAAAGAATGAAAGCACCATGAAGAGGAAACAATGAAAGACCAGTAGCTGTCAAGTCCATATTCTAGTTACCCCTAAACCCTAAACGCAGCTGGGGCCCTGGTTTCTACCACTTGCTAATTTAATACCCTGACACCTAGTAACAATTCAGTAAGTGATGAAAACCCTTAATGAGTTCCTTGTCCATATTTTAGAGCCCCCCTCAGTCACAATTCTTAGTCTAAAAAACACATTTGTGTTTTTATATCAAATTCTTACAAATGTGTACATGTCCAATGATACTTTATCACATATTTAAGATCTCTTTTTAAAAATGAATAAAATTATATGGTGTTAGAAATAAACCGTAGTATCCAGTAAGTATGGATGGCAGAATCTGGGATGCTGAAAAGCAGTAGACATTGTATGAAAAAGACACATAATTGTACGACATTTTCCACAAATGAAAACAATTCTGAATTGCAAAAATGAATTAAACTACAATGCCTAAAATCTACATTAAAATCATTACTATACTTGTAAGGGTGCCAGAACAAATATATATACATATTATCTGACTATTCCTGTGGAAAATTTTATATGAAGGAAGAACATACACATATACACATATTCATTATATGGTATCTATCAATAGTAAAATGCACCCAAACCCTATAAAGCTATAACAAAATAGTTTCAGCATCTAGGAGTCAAAATCCATTCCACTACCTGGGGTTCATCAAAAGTGTGAAAGGGCCAAAGCTTGTCTTCAATGTTTTTCTCATGAGCAGTAGACCTGTGCCTCTCCAAAATCTAACTGAGAACACATTTCTTAAGAAACTGTCCTGGAAAAATGAATTGCTTCCTTCCCTGGTCTCCTATAAATTGTGCAGCTTGTTAAATTTTCCATACTGTACACTATTTCTACTTTCCCTGCTAGAATATGAGATTTTCAAGGGCAGAGATTGTTTTGAAAAGCAATAAGTGTTAATCAAATAGATTGTCCTCTCCTCAGAAGAACTGACTTAAATAAATGAGTCAAAATTCAATTGATAAAAAATTACATCAACATAAGTTTCTTATATTTCTGTTCTCTGTGGATAAAAGCAGTGACTTTTTTATCCAAGACCATAGTAAGAAATACAATGTATTTTATTTTGGAACACAGTACATGTGGACATAGGTATATAAAACCAAAATAAAAATTTCAAAAAACAGTATTATTCTTAAAATATGTGGCAAGTTCCAATATCCATTTTAATCTGTTTTTCTGCCTTTTCCTCTTCTTCTAACTTTTCCTCCTCCTTCCTTATAATACTGGTTACGATCCATTAAGACAATTTCATGACCCCTAATGAATCCTGACCCACAGTTTGTAAACATTGGTCTAACTGAACCTTCATACAGACATATCAGAGAAATAAAGTGGATTGGAATCCTTAAAATGAAGAAATTATGTCTGTATGATTACTTTATAGATCACAAAATCATACATTAAAAGTCATCAGAGAAATATTAGCTCAGAAGCAAAATTTAGAGAACTCTTTCTCTCAGAATATTTCTCATCTACTGACTACAATACCTTTAAAGTAAACAGAAGTTTGAAAGATCTATTCATTCCTTTAAACAATGATTTACAGAGCACTGTGTTCTAGGAACACTGTGTTTTAGCTACAGAGATGAATGAAATATACAAAGTCCCTGTCCTCATGAGTTTACATCCTAATGAGGGTATTAGAGATGAAACAAAGATGTTTACTAACAGTAAGTCCCCGACTTACAAGCGTTTGAGTTGTGAACTTTCACAGATATGAACAGACCATTAATTACAAACATTTGTAGGTGTGAACAAATTGCGGAAGTAGCTCCCATGTCTGCTGGACATTGTCACAGTTGTGCAGCTGTGAGCTTATGTACGGTTCGATAGTGTGCAGCAGTACAGTGCTCAGTCAGAGCCCAAGATGTCTGGAAGCAAGAGGAAAAGCAGTGATGATGTGAAGGCGACTGCTAGGAAGCACAGAGCAATAACCATGGAAACAAAATGAAAATAATTGAGAGATTGGACTGAACCAATGAAATGGGAGACATCACTTGCTCTTATACTGTATAGGCCAGCTGTTGTATTGTTCCAGCATTTTAAGGTAACTGTAAAAGTAAAAATAGTTTATTTACAGTATTTTTGTGTGTGTATGGATTTTTATGCTTTACATTGTATATTTGTGTCAAAGATGTACAGTAGAATTTCGGGTAGTGATAAGTGCTATAAAAACAAAATACAGTAAGGGGTTAGAGAGAGATGAGGAGTTATTTTTGTATAGAAGGTCCTCTCTGAAGGTGAATCTGAGCAGAATCTGGATGAGCCACACAACACTGGGAGCATTTGTTGCTTCCTCTGTCAAACACATATGTGTTAAGTAAGGTGTTGTGGGCAGCTGACATGGTCAATACATTTAGCAATCACATCTGAGGTACAGAGGGGCCTAATCGTGACCCCTCCCAAGGGAAACCACTGTGAAGGCAGGTTACAACTAACTAACATGCCTCTCCCTTTTCTCCAGCACACCAGCCACAACCATTTGTACCAGGCATAGGCACTCAACCCAAGGGATCCTTGATCCAGGGTTCATTTCAATAACTAGGTAGAAGGGAGGAGCTATCTCTTGTTATGGATTGAGCTGTATCTCCCTAAAATTCACATGTTCAATTCATAACCCCCAGTAACTCAAAATGTGACCTTATCTGATAACAGAATTGTTGCCCATGTAACTAAAGTAAAACGATTATATTGGGGCAGGTTGAACCCCCAATTCAGTAGGACTACCGTCCTTACAAAAGCTGGCAGCTGTCTTTTGCTCTTCTTTTCTGTACCCTTTCCTCCTTCCTGGTGGCTGGAATGCATTTGTGATGGAACGGAAATTATAGAGGATGAGGAGCCACACTAGAAGGAGCCTGAGTAATGAAAAGCTTTGTGGAGCAGTGTCTTAGTTACTTTTCTCATTGCTGAGACAAAATATCTGACACCCAAAGTTAAAGGAGGAAAGGTGTATTTGGCTGACAAGTTCGTAGATATTTTAGTCCATAATTGGCTAGCTCCAAGGCAGGGTGGTGTGGCAGAGGGGCATCACAGAGGAGAAACAGTTCATGGCAGGCAGAAGACAACAAAAGCAAACAACAAACTACAAGGAGCTAACAGCAAGCCTCTTTCTGTTTCTTATATTGTATATATCCACCCTCAGTGCAGATAGCACTCACACCCTTAACCCTAGCACCCTTAATCCTAGCTTTGCACCATGAACCAATCACTCTAGATCCAGCCACCTCTGAAAAATCCGCACCTATGACCCAGGAGGCTTTGGAGGGACATCTAAACACAAGCCATAACAAGCAGTTATCACATCAGCACTGGGCTGTCCACATCTGGGCTTTGTCCTGGGTCTTTTATTTAAACCATTGTTTGGGGAGGTTTGTTATTACAGTACTTGCTATTGAGTCTAATCTTAAGCAACACAAGAGTTACAGAGTGAAAAGAGGAGAAAAACAGAAACCTGAGGTAGAAATTTAGCTATAGAAAGGGAAAAACAGATTGAAAAGGAATAATCAAAGAGATAGGAAATCCAGAAGAAAACTATATTTGAAAACTAGAGTATCTTAAAAAAGAAAAAAATAAAGCATTGATGTTAGTATATCAATGGATATGGGGACCAAGAAATATCTAATGGTAGGTTGAGTGGTTCTAAAGGGTTTTTCCTGAACCTGCAGCATTTGTATTATCAGGGAACTTGTCAGAAATGCACATTCTCACATCCCACCCATCTGGAGGAAGGGCCCAGCAAACCATGATCTAGAAACTCTGGGGCTGGGCCCAGCAGTCTGTGCTTTAACAAGCCTACCAGGTAATGCTAATCTACGCTGAAGTTTGACTGGTGCTATGGCTTGAATGTGTCCCGCTAAAATTCAAATGTTAAACCTTACTGGCCAGTGAGATGACATTAAAAGCAGGGGCCTTTAAGAGGTGATTAGTTCACAAGGGCTCCTGTCGTTGTGAATAGGGTTAAGGCCTTTTTAAAAGAAACTTCACAGTCTTCAACTCCCTTGTATTTCAGCCTTCTGCAGACAGAACACTGTTCCTCCCCTCCTGAGGAGGCAGCAACAAGGCGCTGTCTTAGAAATAGGGCACAAGTCTTGTGGCAGCATCGCAGGAGGCGGATGGCGGGGATGGCGTTGGCGTGGGCCTGGAAGCGGATGTCCTGGTTCTACTACCAGTACCTGCTGGTCACGGCGCTCTACATGCTGGAGCCCTGGGAGCGGACGGTGTTCGGTAGCCTCCCCGGCGGGCCAGGGGCGCGGGGCCCAGACTTTTAGCTGCTAACAAGATATGGTTTTTATCTTACAAGGAAGTGGAACCTGACACCTGCATTGAGACAAAGAAATAAACGCTGCTTCTGTGGGTTAAGAGGAGGGAGAAGAGGAGGCTGGCATGATTGTGACTGATAAATTAATAATTCCAGTCCTCCAGGCTGGCGGTTTTCAGACTTTGGGTTTGTATTCCATGTTGATTTCCGTCGTGGGCATGGCGCTATACACTGGATCCGTCTTCATGCCCCCAGAACATCGTGGCAATATTGCACTACTTTGAAACTGTACAATGACCATCACGTGACCAGGATCAAGAGGTTCCTTGGAGAAGACCCACTCTACAAAGTTGGAATGAGTCTTCCTCAGATGTCCTAAGAAACTACTGGATGTCAGCGTAACTAACCTTATAAACATGAAGACTAAAATTCATGAGTAGAACAGAAAACTCATCCTGACTCGTGTTGTGTTCTTTATTTTTGATTCTAGAAGAGGCTCTTGTGTAGTAGTTTTTGTCTATTTTAACATTGTAGTCATTTGTACTTTGATATTAGTATTTTCTTAACCTTTGTGACTGTTTCAATATTACCCCATGAAAGCTTTTTTTAATGTAACTTTTAGTATATTTTAATTGCCTTGTATTTTTAAAACTCAAAGTAATTAGCTGGGCTTTATCATTTTTGCTATTGTATGGTCTATACATCTGCCTAGATATATTTCTACTCTTGACCAAAGTTTTGTAAGAAATAATACAAGATTTGGAGCAGCAGGCTGGGGAGGGAGGATATTTTATTGAGAATTACTTACAAAAGACTTATCTGTAAACCTGAACTCAGGAGTACAATTTTAGCTATCTACTCTTAACAGTCTTTGCTTTAAAACTATTAAAATGTTTCTTGCAATGAAAAAAAGTAAAGATCTTGCTAAAATTAAGATAAGGAACATTTCACCTTTTAAATATTTAATTATGAGGACTTATTTCCAGAAAACTTTGGTGATGATTCTTAAGAGAATAAATGGTTAGTTAATAGCATTATTAATGCTTCTGTATACTGTAGAATTTTTTTTTTTTTTTTTTTTTGGTACTAGGGATTGGACTTGGGACTTTGCACTTTCAAGGGAGGTACCGGAACCACCGAGCTAAATCCCCAGCCCAATGTAGAGTTTTTAATAGATGGAAATCAGTTTCCACTGAGGGCCACTATTAACAGCATATGTATTTCCTTAAAGTTAGTTTCATGATTGTAATGGGTGCTGCAAGTGCATTTGCACCTTGCAATAAGATGTAATGAGATGAATTGTTAAAAACATAGCAAAAAGAAGTGTAAATTTGGCTAAAAAAAAAAAAAGAAATAGACCACAGCCCTCACCAGATCCCAAATTTGCCAATGCCTTGATCTTTGACTTCCAGCCTCCAGAACTATGAGAAAAATCAACGTTTGTTCTTTATAAATTACTCAGTTTTAGGTATTTTGTGGCAGCAGCTCGAATGGACTGTAACAACATCTTTGGTGAGAAATAATAACAATAATAATAATAAATACCAGATGTAGTGGCACATGCCTATAATTCCAGCACTCTGGGAGGTTGAGCCAAGAGGATCACAAATTTAGACCCAGAGTGGGCAACTTTAACGACTTTGGTAGACCCTGTCTCAAAAATAAAACCAAACAAAAAGAGGTTGAGTTTTAGCTTGTTGGGAGCAATGCTACATAATTCTAGGGAAAAATCATTTGGTTAGCCTAGTTCTCTTGCCTACAGCCAAGCTACAGAATAACTCCAGTTTGGCCTCCGGTCACAACTGAGACTTCAGTGATCCAGTGATGCTGTGATTCTCCAGGATAAGAAACATCCTGGGAGAACAAACATCTGCTCAGTTCCTTGTTGTTCTTGGACTGTTAACATCTTGTTTACCCGAGATGTACTGAACTCTCTGCAAGCCTTTTTTTACACCTTGTTTATCCCAATGTGAACTACTGAACTCTCTGCAAGTCATTTGTTACATTTGTTTCTCCCGATGTACTGAATTCTCTGCAAGTCATTTGTTACGAGGTACTGAATAAAAGGTGTGGTAAACTGGGGGCATTTGTCTTTGCCGCCCAAAGCCGCACTGATCAGACCCTAAGCTCAGCTTCTTCTCAGTCTCATTTTTCTACCTTTCCTGTGATTCGCCGTGTGCTGCCGTGGCTCGCAGGAGACCAGGACTAACTGCAGAGGTTCTGGTAACGTCCCCTTCCCCTGTTCCCTACATTAGCTCAGTGCAGAGTTCCTAGGTTTAAGCTCCAGTACTGAAAAATAAATAAGCAAAATAATAATAACTACTACTACAAGAGTTTATTAGTATAAGGTTAGAGTTAAGTAGAAGAAACAAGTTTCAGTGGCCTATTACACACTAGGGTGACTATAGTTAATAATAGTGTATATTTCAAAATAGCTAAAAGAGAATTTTAAATGTTCTCACAAGAAAATGATAAATATTTAAGTGATGGATATACTAGTTGGCATGATTGATTATTCCACAGTGTTCATATATATATCAAAACATCAAACTTTTAAAAACAAACAAACCATCAAATTGGATTCCATAAATATATACAATTGTTATTTGTCAATTAGAAATGCATATTTAAAAATGAGTACCACAGATGTTGGGTCACTAACTTCAGGCCAGGCTTTAAAACATTTTTCTTACATTATCTTATTTGCTTCTCACAACAAATGCATTTTATCAATGAGGAAACCAAGACTCAGAGAAGATATATACAAGGTTACACAATCAGCAAGAAGGGGAACCATGTCTTTCTGATGCCTAGGACATTCCCAAGCCCTTTGCTAATTCACCTTAAGGGTAACCAGTGATATTATCATAGACTATCTCAGTCAGATATGAAGACAGACACCAGAATGCAGGCGATTTGGAAGAGAGGAAGTGGAGAAAGTAAGTGCAAAATATTTTTTAAATGTTCACTGTAATGCTGAAAAGAGAAATAAAATGAAAACAAGAAAGAGAGAGAGAGAAGTGGGCGAGAGAATATTTGCTTGCTTGTTTTTAAGGAGAAAACAGGAGTACCAAAGGAAAAGAGTTTCAAGATACAATAATGTGTTAGAGATTTCAAAAGATTGGACTTGAGCACAATAGGGAGGATAGATAAGGAATGAAATATTGTTAAGAATGCTTTGAAGTAATGGGATATTTATCCAGGGAAGGATAGTGACTTAGGCAGAATACAATAGTGAGCTTTAAATATCTGGTGTGCTACAGTAAAGAAGAGGAATAAATTTTGTTTATATAGTTCCAGAATAGACAAAGTGTTCATTTGAATTCCAGAGTTCACTTTAAAATAAAAAAGAGATGGTGGGGGTGAAGGGCGCATAGGTAATGGGGAAAAAATAAGAACTAAGATACATCATGTTCAGGTACAAACACCCAATGATAAATGTAAATGTATTGTATACCTAAAATGTACCAATTAATATATAAATAAAAATAAAATATAAAAGAGCAATCTAATGGTGTAAGTTATTTGAAAACAGAATGACTTCCCCTTGGAGCTGGTGATTTTCATACAGAAAGCTCTTAGAGAAAAGCTCTTTAACATCCATAAGGCAAGTCCTATATATATAAGGGGTTCCTGTGACATCCTTAAGGATTTTTAACTATGCTAAAATTCTGCGATATGTCTTGTGCTGCCTGTTTCTTTGGTAAATCATTAAAGTATAGTATTGCTTGCAGTGAGAAAGATTTTCTTTCTATTGTTTATATCTTCAAGCCTTTCTGCTTTTATTTATGACTAATAGAGGTGGAAAATAGATCACTGCCTACATTTCTGGCATTATCAAAATAATTCATATATTTGAAGTAATTTAAGTCACCATTTAAACTGAAAATCAGGGATTCTAAACTCTCATATATTTATATATTCTCTTTCTAAACCTCCACTCATTTTTCTCTCCTCAGATGAGATTGACATTGTAAACAATTGACTAGATTTTACTCTCCTGCTAAATTGGAGTCCTTTTATTACATCTTTTCATCACTATTGCCTGTTGGAAGAGTTTGTTCAGAACAGTCTGCAGGTATCATTGCAACTTCACAGGCAGCATGTCTTTTCTCCCATGTCATAAATATCATTACTTCCAAAGAAGAGGAATCATACTTCAATAAATTTATGAGAGAAATACCACAAAACCTAGGACGTATCTCAACAGATTCCAGATCAGCTCTACAGAGGTTTAATCTGTTCTTCTCACAATGTAAAGACAGCACCATGACCTGATCATTTCCAGGTCTCTCTGCTGGGAACAACCAGACCATTGGAAACAGAGCTAGAACTAAAGCCCTCTGTCCTCCAAGAAGATAAACAGAATTCACCAACACAAATGTTTGCTTTTCACCCACTGGTGAGAAGGCAAACCCTAGGCCTCACGGTGAGCTCTGCAGAGTGATACCATCTGTTGCACCTGTCATGGGAACGGTTGGTCCATAGACCATGTAGATTGCAATCAAGGGTTGGCCTTTACAGAATTGCTATTTCCTCTCAGGATCAAATCCACAGCCATAGCAAGTGCTTTGTGAAACCTGATTTAAACCTGGTTTTGCAAAGTTGTAAGTGACTCAAGCTTCCATCTCTTAGGGTAAACTTAAGAAATAAAGTGTTGACCTTTTGTTCTTGGCTTGTGAATTCAGAAAGATGATTTCTAGGGTTGATTTTGGTTTTTAACTTGAATTGCAAAAAAGTACTTCCTTATTTGTGGTCTTCCTCTCTGTAGTTTCAGTTGCCCATGGTTGACAAGAAGGACGAGTGCAGTATGGTGAGATATTTTGAGAGAGAATATGTGAAACTACATAACTTTTATTGCAGGGTATTGTTACAATTTTTCAGTTTTATTATTAGTTGCTGCTAATTTCTTGCTGGGCCTAATTTATAAATTAAATTTTATCATAGTTATGTATGTTTGTGTAGGAAAAAAAGCCTAGTATATATAGTTTACTACCCATAGTTTCAGGTGTCCCATGGGTGTCTTGGAATATATCCACAGATCGGTGAGGGGTTACTGTGTGTGATCTTGCTTTGACCAGAATGTTTTTCCCTTCACATACTTTTATGAGACTTAGTAAAATGCAATAATTAATGCATAATTACATTTGTATATATGGGGGTGTATGAGTTTTTGGATGCTTGGCTCTGAAGCTTTGATTAAAGTTGCAGTTCCATTTGACATGTTATCACATGATAGTTGGTGTACACATATATAAGAACATGTCTGGGGAGAATGAAAGAATGCATGCCAAGTACAGCGTACTCCTAAGCAGTGCTTTCAAGAAAACAGTAATTTATACAGAAGAATTATGTTGCCAGTCTCTGTGTCCTTCCCAAAAACTTGAAGGTTAATAAAATTTACAAGGAATATAATCTATAAAGGAAGAATTCTAAGGTTCTATGATGTTTCTCAAAAATAATTTGCCAATGGTACCTACACCAATGTATTTCAAAAATTACTATACTAATTTTTCTCATCTTGTAGAATACTAAATAATCTTCAAATGAGGTTTTAAATTTATTTGTAATTCATATGTGACATTTTAGTTAAATTGAAAGAATTTTTTTTTCTAGCACCATGGATCCAACCCAGGGCTTCATGGCTGCTAGGCAGGCACTCTACCACTGAGCTACATCCTTAGCCTTTTGATTTTTCCTCAAAATATTTGGAAGAACTAGTTTGAAAACTAGTGTACAATATGGAAATGAGAATTTATCTCTGACTCAATTCCTGAGTGCTTTGATGAATCGGTTAATTTATTCTTCTATTTCTTTTTCTAAGGATGAGCAGATGTTGTCAAGAGATGGCTTTGGAAGTCAGGCTATCTACAGCAGACCACCAGGAGGCAGCATAGAACCAAGATTGAGTGGCTGGAGAATATGGGTTAGATATAGAGGGTGAGTCACCAATGGTTTATTTTTTTGAGAGAAGATGGAAAATCTTGGAGGCTCTTCATTCTAAGGTACAGTGGCTTGGTCCAAGTGCAGTGAG